TCTATGTACGAATGTACGTGCCAGTACTATCAGTAAGTGTTACTTGAATACTATACATTCTGGTTAAAAACCGGTCACGATATGAAATAATGTTAGGTTCGCAAACAGGTAAGTGTAACTGCACTAGGTCAATAAAAGTAAATGACTGCTTTTGACTAACACATTTGCTTTCCATTTCATAATGTTGATGTTTTAATAATGCAAAATTCTGAGCTATAAGAACTTCGAAAAATAGATATATACTATTTATAATGCAAGCGATTTACAATGTTTAATCTGTTCTAACACTTTTCATTCTAAAATCCGATTGGTAAGTTAATTATGATCAGTAATATTTACAAGTGTACTATATAGTACTATACAAATGAAAATTACACCGTTATACTTAAAAAAAAAAATACAATTTTAGGTGTTGTTGATAAACAAAACATTCAAACAACGTTAATATTTAATAATTTATTAATCAACTGTGTATAATATATGTTGTCCGCAAGAGATTAGCGAATGAGAAGGGAGATAAATATAATTATACTATTAGTAAGATAAAAAATTTATTAAAATTAGAAATTTAAATATTTCGCTATCAAGCACAGTATCATTATCAGTTGTAATTTAACCGTAGTGTAATATTCAACATACATTACCATTTTTACCACTTGTGCTATGATTAAACTTAAATAACTGCATTCGGATATTGTATCGGTCAATATAGTTGCACGATGTATAATGAATAATCAATCTAACGTAAGTACGTATATATAGTTTCACGTAGTACAAGTGCATTGCAGACTGCTGTATTTATCGGTATATGTTTAAGACATAACGATTTGTAGCCGATATACCTCCTGTGTGACGACGAGCGTTTCGATTTACGACATTATTTTTAATATTACAACGCAGAACACATGGTATGATCAATGATGGTCAGGTATTGGTTAATAATAAATAATAGTGTCTTGTCTGAATGGGTTAGTCTGAATAATTTGAACAAATTCCATAAGAACAAAATTAAAAATCTTTTACATCTGACATGTACGTTCAATTGTTTATATAAAAGCAATAACAGCTATTAAAATATTTTTAAAAATATATTACGAGAAAACAATTAAAATACTAAAAAAAAACTATCGTCCAACATTTCCAAACAATGATTTGATTATATTCGAATTCCATCGAAACCACGAGAGGACGATTAAAAAAACAACCTTGTAAACTACCACATTATATGGATCCGAAATTATCAGAACATTTTTTTTTTTACCAAATAATCGGTTGAATAGATAAAAAAAATACATTGAAATCTTAATAATCTTAAAATCTGTTCACGTAATCTGCTCAAAATCCAGAACGATGTATTGTAAAGATGATAAAACCCGATATTAATATTATTATTATGTGACATTTTTCCTTAAAATAAAATGTATACTTATGCATTGTAAACCAGCGTGCATTTTTGAATGATATTGACCGGTTACGTTGAACGAGAATGACAGCAAGTGTGTATTAAAAATGATATTATACCATAATCAAGCGAAGCGTCCAAAAACCGTATACAGTAATACCGACAAACATAACACACAGACGAAATAATATGTTAACACTAATGATGTTTTGATGAAACGCCATGTTAGTCGGCCGATTATGCAACCGCACAATTAATAAGTTTAGCCGAGTGCATATTCTATGATATCGTCGTGGAAAAAGAACCATACATGCAGCTCGTGCGTATCGGATGTAAGAACATTGGTTATATTTTGACGGCCACAATAATTCCTAAGTATTAAAGTCATTAGTGATAATTAAAGCTCTCGTCGGTATAAAAAGAACGAAAAAAATAATAATAATAAAAAAAAATATATCCTTTTATTCACCAAAACCATTATTTTGTCCACGAACAATTTTACGCCCCACCAGCGAAAACACGTGTATCCGTGTCGATGTGCGTTGTCCCTATGTCCTTGACCGTTAGCAGAGTTACGCAACTACAATAAGTGAGATGCATACGTTCATCGTGAACCTATGCATCGGTTTGTTTTTTTTTACATTCTTGTTCTATAATATAGGTAATAATTTCGTGTTTTATAATACGCTCAACATCGCATAACACGAATATGTATGTAATGTGTGCGCTTATAATTTGTTCGTTTGAACCGATAGAAATTCTTCATTTCATTGCTGTCGGTGTACAGATCCATTACGTGATCTCTTTACACTTTTTCATTGTTTGTGTACCGACCGCCAGGTACAAAATAAAGAGTGGAAAACACAAGTGTAAAACAATTGATGAAAATCTTAATTTATCGTTATGACGCGGAAAAAAAACAACAGAATACATTAAACACAACAGTAGTATATATTTTCCACCCAAGCGGGTTACCTTGTACAATAATGATTCGTGAGCCATAATTACTCGTGATAGTAATTATTATACGAGACAAATTGTTCTTCGGGTGTTATTGTTTTGATTGTACTGAGCGTTTTCGGAATGACTAAGGTTACTAAAGGATCTAAGGTTATTGTTTCAGTAATATTATTATCATTACTAAAGTATCATAAAAATAATAAATTTCTCAATTCCTGTAAAACTGAAATCAATTTCACATTAAACTGTATAATCATTAATGTAAACGCATTTTTGTAATGTTATTGATTAATATTATGACTTTAATGACGGTTTCAAGTAGACTAAACGCGTTAACGTTATTTTAACGGAAATTATAATATCTGTCCTCTACAAATATTTTGCACGCAAGTAAGGTATATTTTTGAAAACTGAATCTAATATTGGTTTCCTGTGAATACGTCTAATGTGGAAACATTCTGCGATTGAAAACATTCGTTTCAAAATAATTACCCAAATACGTTTTTATTACACATTATACAGTAATAGAGTAATTTTCAACGATTATATACTAGCCACATAATAATATAATAAACACGATTTTACACAATCCATTATTATTGCACTCGATTTTAATTTTTATACGAAAGTAATACGGACTTATACCATACGCCTCTAGCGTGTGTTACATATTATGCAAACTATGAATGGCGTGTATTGAGCTCAGTTAATATTTTCCAAGAAATTTATAATTAACTCGGTTGTCGCAGCACCGCGGTTGGGTACCAATGTAATTTTGAAAACTATCCGACGAATCGAAAAAACCTGATTTTACCGAACAAAATCATTACTAAAAAAATATTACCGTTGCAAAACAACCGTCTTTGGTGCGTATTGCAGATTAATTATAGACGGTTTTTTTTTGCATGCGAAACTGGTCGGTGGTTTTGCTATTCTGGAGATTGCCGTCATTTGTATTACACAAATCTGCGATTTCATAACAAACAATTCTACGTTCAATGGTACCATCTATGTGTCTAACTCTCGAGAAAATGCATATTTGTACCTGTGTAATTCATTGCGGAGATCCTTTTTTTGTTTTTTGACGAAGCATAAATTACATTACACAATAACAATCAAATAAATTTAAAAAAAAAATACACTACCACTTATAGTCTTCCAAACAATAATAACATCAAATGTTTGAATATTCTTCGAGATAATACGTGTAGATAATTTAATGTTTTTCTTAAGTGCATTTTACGCGCGAGTGTGTACACAGAAAGAAAGAGAGAGAGAGATGATCACATCTTATGCACCATCAAAATAATATTATTTTAGTCGCAGACTGTGTCAGTGTGTAACTACGTAAATTATATTTATGCATTATTTTGACACGAATAAAAAAAAATGAATAAAATATATGTTTAATTGGATTAGTATGCATACGCTGAACATGTATCCAGGTAGTTCAATTGAACTGTCTAGAAAATTGGAATGTTAGCAGAAAAAATTACCATTAAAAAATGTAAATTCATTTTTTTTATATATAACTTGACAAGTATTTTTTATTTAAAATAGTACATAAATATTATATAACATATCTAGTTATTAAAGAAGTTTAAAAAAAATGTTTTGGCTTTTGTGGGTGAGTAAATCTGATTATTTAAACTGGCAGTTTTAATTTCATTCGGCGCCACCGTTAGTATAGTACCGTACGAAATAGACCAACTCGCCGGTTTTAATGAGTTCGGTGGAATAATACTACGAACATTGGTACCAATCCTAACCCGTGTGCATACGAGCCAATGTTCAAACATTTCATTCGTACACATATGTTTGCCGCATTATGTCGAAAACAGTCGTACCGAAGTTTTGAAAAATCTTTACATGGTCCGTATAGGATCACATGAATTGCGCAAAACATGATTTTTGTACTTGACGAGGCTGCAGCCCGATCGAGTACGTTGAAAAAATTCGTTTTCTTTGCTCTCTACTCTACAACGCAGTTTGGACGAAGTCGGCTGCTACGTTGCGTGTACACGTCCAATTGGATGCGTTATTTATTATGTACAGGCGGTGGCGGCTGTCTTGTATCAAAAAAAAAAAAAGGTGTTCAAGCAACCCTTTCACAAACGAGAAGGTTGAGTTTTAGCCGTTGGGTCCCAGTACCAATTCATAAGACCCTTGGTTGCCAATATATTAAGAAACGCGATGTAAAACGTTTTAGAAACATAAATCGAATCGGTTACATACGCTACTGTCCGCAGGTACCCGCCTACGGTCCGCACCAGAGCATATTTTAACGTACAAAGTACGTGGCACTCTAGTGCCTCCCAGAGGGTAAGTGCTACTAATCAACACATTTTCATAACGACCGTAGTGATAGGGGTTGATTTCCCCTGCATGTTCCTCTGCAGAAGAACACCACGTCTACGAACTACGACGGTAGACGATTTTATCGAAGTGCCACCTGGTGAAAATTACTTGAAATATGTTCTGATGCGCACGGTACCCGGTTTCACTCGGAGATCGATGATCAATAGAACGATCGATACCGATCGCGGATACCGAAACGAAAGCTAGGGCCCATTGCACTCGAAAGACAGCCGCCGCCCGTGTACGTTGGATAGTCTAGAGCGCGCACATATGTACTCACCGCCGCCGTAAAGGCCGTCGTCACGTTCGCGTGTCACGGCCGTGCCCGAAACGTTCTTGGCGCCGCGCGCGTACCGTCCCGGCGCCGACGACAACGAGCCGTTCGCCTGTTTGCACTCGTTGTCCAAGTCTCCGGCGGCGAAACGTCTCGAGTCGCATTTGTCGTAGGCGCGCGCCGAGCCCGCGCCGAGCGCAAACACGCACACGCACAGGACGAACGAGCACCGGCGGAACGGTCCCCGCATGGTTTCCGCGTTACCTGCGCCGAACGCGGCCGTTTACCGTGAACCGGGAGGGAAAAACGGATGTAAAGATAAACGAAAAAAGTTTAAATATATTTATGGAAAACGTAAAAGAACCGGATCTCGTCCGCGAACCGGCACCGGACGGAGCGGAAAATTTGTCGTGTTAGGCGGAAAATGCGTTCACGCGCGTCTGGACCGCGGAACCGTTTACCACAGATAAAATCTTACTCGTCCTTATGCCATCGCCGACGGTTTTACCGGGTCGCGTTTGGTTTTACCGTTTTTATTTTTTATTTTTTACTACGCGACGATCGCACTCCGTTCGTTATTTTTACGTTTTACCGTGTGTGCTTTACCTGCGGGCAAGCGCGTTGCATGGATGTCGAATGACTGAACGACTGCGCGGTAATATCGCGACGCGGCGGCGTTCCATTCACGAAACGTCACGTTCGTACGGGCCAGCGTTATCGTCCGGTCGTGCACGTGCCCCTCTAGAAAAAACTGACGATAAATAAAAATAAAAGCATCGCGAAGTGCGCGCGCGCGCCTTCGTTTCGTGTACGCAACACGAGTTCTTTCACTTTCTTCGCGGCGCGGAACCTTGCCGAGGTCGATGTCGTCGTCTTGTCGTTTACCGACCGGTGTGCCTCCGCGAACATGTTTCGTTCATAAAATCGATTTTCCATCAACCGTTACACGGTTGTAATAAAATAGTAAACAAATTCATTTGAAATTTATTTTTAACGGTTAACACTCGTAAACACCCGTAAATTTATGTAAAAATAAACAAGTAGTTAAAAAATAAAAGCTTAGCCTGGAGTATTATTATTGTATTCGTTGAGTACGACCGGTTTCGAATTACAATTCATCGTCAGGTGTATACAGAGTTAGAAAAAATTGCGACTGAATACGAAAAAATAATATATCAACTGTAATGCTTTATAAATACATTTATTTATTTATAGGGAAAACGCGAGTTGGGTCCCGAGATATTTGATCGCTTAAACACGAATTGGGTCCGCGGTTTTGTTTTTATTTTATACATTATTTAAAGTTTCCATGCAAAACTAAATGCTAGTATCAGTGCAGCTCACCTCAATATTTTTGTTTTGATAAAAATTTTACTTGGAATTCAGAGTGAAATTTACGTATCACTCCAGAACTTAACCACTATCCAATCAAGAAAATAGCAGAAAAAGAAAATATTTAAGAGAAAAGAATCTTTATTTTACCAGTGGAGAATTGATCCGGTTAAATTTTTCAAAGGACGTGTCTTTTAAACTTATAACTAACTTATTTTCTAAGATAATTTATTTTTTATTATTATTTAATATTGGTCGCCCTCTGTTCTGAGGTGGTGATCGAGAAAATTTTATATTAAAAAGCGCACTACGGTTATTTAATATTTTATTATTGGAATAAATGGTCAATAGTTTCTTATAGCTACAACACCTACCTTGTTTTTTTTATAATAGTAACATTAAAATAAATTCTTTATTACAACATTTTTTACAAAAATAATTACATTTTGGTCACAAATTATGTACATAATAATAAAATTTTAAAATATAATAATAATAAACAATGTAGGTTTGTTGTTCGTAGAAAAAATATTTTAACTTTGAATTTTCACTAAGTTTAGAGTACATAGCCTTAATGCAAAAATGTACTATGTATTTTGAAGTTTCATACCTGGAGCAATATTTGGTTGTTACTACCCTGCTTAAAATAAAATATATTTTGAAATGTCAAAGCAATAGAATAGAATATCTGCACGTTTACGAAAAAGTTTCCACCGCCCAAACACGACACCCACGATTTTCGGTTTCGTATGTCAGCGATCTTGTAGGTCTTCTTCGTACATTATAATGAATTCGTTAATAGTTGCTGTCAATTATCAATCCGACATCTATTCACATGTTATTTGTTTCGCGAATCTCGTACAGTACATACGGTACAAGTGACTACGAATGTAATGGACTTACATAATATGTGTAAAAAAAAAAATTATGCAGTGTAGGATTAATACAATGGCTTTGGCCGTTAATTGTTCATGTGCATTTGTTACACGAAATTCGCCCATTACAAGCAGCACGATACCAGTACAACAGAAATCAAGAATGCCTGTGGTTCAAACTTCAGATAATTAATTTTAATACCTGCTACTCTGTTGATTCGATTTAATAATAAATATTGTTGAACACGTGTTCAATGAGCATATTATCATCGCATCCATTCAATCCACCATGCATAAAAGAATATTGATAGTTGCCAATTGAATCACAGAGTTGTTCTGTTGCAGTTCAATTGAAATCAAGGCGTGGAAAATTGACATTAAATTTTCATACAAAAATTTAATAATAAATAAATTCCAACTATTTTTTTTTTAATTATATTTTATTTTGTTTGTGTATGACATAAATGTATAATTTTCGAATAACCTAAACATTAAATTGTTCGCACTGAAAACTGTAAATTCCAAGAATATTGTTTTACATACCGTCATTGTGATTCGTAAATGGTAAATACAAAAAAACTTAATACGTGACATCGTAATAATTACGGATTATTTAGGTGTTAAATGCTCATAGAAAAAACAATTTAATGTCGATTAGAATGACTTATTATTTTAAAAAAAAATTATCATTTGTCATTTCAATATTATAAGAATATAAAATAAGAGATAAATGAATACTTATACGTTAAAAGATCATCATTTGATTGTTCTTAATGAAAATTACTAAATAAAATAAAATCAACAATTTAGCGATACTTGTATACAACGAATCAGAGCATATTTTAAATTATTTTGACTATATGGCACTTCAACAAAATTGTCTACCAGAAGTAGGTATATAAAGGGAAAATCCATTTCTGCCTCAACAAATTATATTTACTAAACTCAATTAAAACATATTAACATTGCTGATTTTTCAATAATATAACCTTAATTATATATTTAATAATAATAAATAATGGACAATAAAGTGAACATTTTTAAAAGACGGACGCACCAATGCACGAACGAAAACAAACGGAAATTATAAGACAAAATTATTCGAATAAGATAGAAAAACGTTAGAAAAAATAAACTAATATTAATAATTTCTAAATTGTATTAGTATTTGTGTATGTATTACGCATTCTTTGGTATAGGTATACCCTACCCAAGTAAGGTTGAAAATCACTGATGTAAACTACGTGTTTACTGTTTATAAAGTAAATTAATCTAATCGGCGATCCTTAAGGCGGCTCTAAACGATTGGATTTTTCATGCATTTAGACCTATAAGCTGGCGAAAAATAAACATACTTCTAGTAGTCCAATTTTTGATTTTCAATAATAATTTGAATTTTTTAGCTTTTTTTTCTATGATCTGTAGGAAAAACTTTTTAATTTTTTTGTCTTGTTATCACTTAAAAGTACGAGTGAATTTTGAGAAAGTGAATAAAGTTATTTGGAACTGTACCACGTAAACTCTTCAAAGTTACTTATAAATCATAAAAAAGAGACTGACGAATTCAAATAATTTTTAAAAATTGAATTTGTATTACTAGAAGTATGTTAATTTTTGCCAGCTTATTAGCATTATTCATTGTCGCGAGTGTGCAAAAATATTTTTGAGATTGCATACGTTGACCTGTGCATGCGCATGCGGAATTTTATCGACGCGGCACGTCGGCTGTCTTATCCTAATTGAAAATAAATTGCCAATAATTGATTACTGGAATATATAAGCTAAGAAGACGTGCTGGCAGTGGGCACAATATAATAATGTTATATTATAATAATCAAGGCTCGGAACTTTAGGAATTTGCATATTTATCTAGAAAGTGCATATTGAAATTCTGTTTCGATACAAATTCGATTCATAGTATGTATATTTCAGATTTTTGTTGCATAATTATGCATGTTTTGTAACTTTTTATACCAATTCGCATAGTTTGGGTTTAAGAACATTTATATACATATTTCTATATTAGATGAAATAAAAACTTCGGTGAAAAGGAATTAATAAAATTAAAATGTTGAAGTGTGCATCTAAAAGTATAAAATGAAAAAAATATGCCCTTAAAACAACAGCCCACAAACTATATTTTTTATGCGAAATAAAATGTTAAGACTAGCTTTTCGAAAACATTAAACGTATTTGTTTCGTACTCTGCTTTTTTGTGATTGTACAACACAAATATGCAAATACTACAAGTTGTCTGTCCGACTCATTACTAATGTACATTTTACAGATTCGAAGAAATAATAATTACATGTATATTATATGCTTTTAATTATTATTTTATTAAATTTACATTCGTTCACTTTTATGGTGTTTATAATTCATAATTATCAGTAGGGCTCAGAATTTAATGCACTTAAAAAGTACTAAATATGCATTAGCTTATGCAATTAAAATAGTACAAATATGCTTTGAAAATATGCACTTCACTTTTTTTATAACGCAACAACTTTTATAAAAAAAAATATTTTACTAATTCTCTTACATAACAACAGTACAAATATTATACTAAGCTAAACATAATTTATAGCTATAAATACATAAAATAAGATAAAATAAAATAAATAAATATCTTGAAATTTGAAATTTTATTTCAAAATGTTCCCATTAAATTATATCTGTAACGCATAAACAAAAATTAGAGAAAGCGCTTGGAACCCAATTAATAAGTAAGTAATACATTTTTTTGTTACTATCAAAACTATAACATTGAACTAATAAAACTTTTTTTAACGTTTTCAAAAGTTGAAAGTTCGCCGATTATTCGATTAGTGTAATCAACGATTATCATTAAACTAATGCAGATATATATAAATAGAACTGAACATTTTGTGTTAACTTGGGATTTGAGAATCATGATAAGTATAAAATTTAATGCTTCATATCAATATTTAATGAAAAATCTCAAAATAAATATTATTTTACTATTTCAACATTTTTAAATGTTATCATCAATGTTTAGACAATCATCAAATATGCTCTAAAAAATGGCAAAATTAAGCAATATGCGCATAATATTACTAAATCACTAAATAGGCAAAAGTATGTACTATAAACTTTTAATATATTTTTCGTAGTGCCATGAAAATAATTTCAAGTTTATTTAGCGATAAATTGAATAGTCCAATAAAAACATGAAAATGCAAAATATTCCTGAATGATAAGAATAAGATAAATAATATAATACTCAAAAAAAATAATATACATATATAGAAATTGCTTCATTGCAATTTCGCAAAAACAATGAAATTCAAAATGTAGTTACATACCACGTAATTTCTGCCCAGCCTTCAAATTATGAACACGATCACCCATCACTGGATTGCATTCATTTATCACTAGGGGGGCACTAATGCCATGTACTTTGTATGTTAAAATATGCTCTGAAACGTACCATAGGAAATTATAAATAGTGTAAAAAGAAATCTAATCATCACCTAACTA